GTGCAATCACAGGAGCCACGAACTCTTTCCAGGTTGGGTAATTAGGCTCACCTAATGCCACCTATGGCTCACCTAATGCCTACCTGAGGTTCTGGCCAGTCTGTCTTTCTGTATGAAGTGCGCTGATTATGTTGACATCTTCCTCAGAGTGGTCCCAGTTGTGTGACCTCCTGTGAGAAGATACTAGGATAGGGCTGGGGATTTAGCTCAGTGGTTCTGCCGCCTGCCTCGCAAGCAGAAGGTCCTGAGTTCGACCCCCATGTACCAAAAATAAAATAAAAGCCATGTTTAGGACAGTAACCAAGTTCTCTTAATTCCAAATATGGGGGGAAAAAAGAAAGAAAAGGAATAGGAAATGCTAGGATGAAAATATACATATATCACCGAAGAACAAATAATTTTAAGAAATATTGTAGGACATAGTCTTACTTGGAAGGAAAAAAAATTTCTCCCTATGAGGGAACAATCCTGCCTTAAATACACAGTATATTACTAATAAACAGATAAATTCCAGCACATTAGCTGGCTGAAGTCTGAATTTTGGTTAATGGTCATATCATGATTTTCTTTTTCTTTCTTTTTTTTTTTTTTTTTTTTTTTTTTTTTCATTTTTTTTTTTTTTTGTACCAAGGAACAAACTCGGGACCTTGTGCTTGCAAGGCAGGCGGAGGCCCCACTAATCTAAATCCCCAGCCCTATCATGATTTTCTTTAGGACAGTGATGGCAGACTTTTTAGAGACAAGTGCACAAACTGCACCCAAACCCACTTATTTATCGTGAAGTGCCAACACTGCAATTAAACCTGAATAGTGAGGGCTGGGGATTTACACTGCTTGCCCAAACAGCGCAAGGACCTGAGTTCAATTCCCAGTACAAAACAAAACAAAACAAGAAAAACCTGAATACTGAGTTCTTAGTTTAGAAAGAACAACTCATACTTTAACATCTTTTGTCTTAAAAGAAAATCAAATAACACTCATATCGTAGGTTCATCACCACTGCTTTAGAATAAAGGTATTTCCCTTGTATATGTGCAAAGGGCCCATTCCAGTGATTTCCATAAGTAAAGGCAGACTGTTTCAAGATTAATTGATGTCTCACCTTCTGGAACGATTAACTTAACGTGGGCATAGTGGTGCACATCTGTAATCCCAGCACATGGGAGGCTGAGGCAGGAGGATTGCAAGTTTAACAGCCTAGACTGCATCTCAAAACAGAACAAAACAAAACAAAAAAGAAATACAAAAAAATGCAACTATAAGATATAACATTTCTCTTACTTAAAAGTTTCATTTTTGGAGCACCAGTTCTGTGTTCTTTAAATGATCGTCGCGTCCAACCACAAGAGAAGACAAAGGTAAGGCTCCAGGAAGTCTTTTATACTGACAGGTGCTATGGAGGAGGTGCTGCCCGCTAGGCTGACAGAGGAAGCACCATGTTTTGGTCAGGTGAGAGGAACATGGCAAGGTGGGAACCCAGCCAGAACTTTCTCCAGTTTCTAAGAGAAAGGCAGGGCAGGTCAAGAGTTTATGGGACTGGCTCTGCATTTTGGGGAGATCCCTAATTGCCAGATAGATTAGAGAAGAGGAACATTGCCTCCTGCGGTGTAAGAGACAGATAGCGGAGCTCTGGCTCTGGGTTGGTTGATCTGTGTATCAAAAGCAGGCTCCTGGCTGAGCCCTCTGCTATCACTAAGGACTATGGAATTGGCTGGTCCTGGGAGGGGCAGTTTCTGCTGAAAAGTTTTTTTGTTTTGTACCAGAGATCAAACTCAGGGCCTTGCACTTGTGAGGCGGGCCGTGGCACCACTGAGCTAAATTCTCAGCCCTGAAAAGAGTTTTTGAAGATGTGGAAGCATCTTAATAAAGTCTTTAGCATTTTTTGTTTACAAAGGGGTAAGGTAAGACTAGCCCAGAACCTCAGAAATGGACTCCCCCCTCTTTCATAGTGATTTCAAAATATGTGCATTATTTCTTAGCTTCAAATCTTGTCCCCATCTCTTTTTTTTTTTTTTTTTTTGGTGGGGGAGGGTCCTGGGATCAAGCTTCATTTTAATAACACCAGGAAGGAACAAAGCATCAAAACTGTTATTTCCTTGATGAAAAAATATTGAAAAACAAAACAAAACAAAAACCCACTGAGGGATGGCTTGTAGCTTAGTGCGCACAAGGCCCTGATTTCAATCCCCATGACTGCAAAATAAAACTTCTGAGCTTCCAAAGGTAAGACTCTATGAATGGTCTAACATCATTAGCTGTGAAAGAAGTATATAAAAGAGGGGTCAAATCCAGAATTGGAACCCCAAGAAAAGCCTGGGAGAAACTAACTCTCACCATGTTTTTACTCTGTCCTCAGTTACCATCTTTTATATGCAGGGTTGTGTTTCTTCATCTCTGGTCTGTTGCGCTCTGAGGGTCTTGTATTTCCAAAGTACCCTCAATCCTATGAGAATTTAAAACTTTTAATTTTTATTTATTTATTTACTTATTGGTATGGGGATTGAACTCATGATCTTGAGCTTTAAAGGTAGGTGTAGTGCCACTGAGCTAAATCCCCAGCCCAATGTTTTAATTTTTATAATTCTCACTCTCCCTTCCTCTTCACACACACACACACACATGCATATCAGCATGTTTTGGATCATGTAGACTAACACTATTTTATTTTTGAGACAGGGTCTTGCTTTGTAGTTCAGGCCCTTGAACTCAGTATGTAGCTCAGGCTAGCCTCAAACTTGCAGTAACCCTCCGGCCTCAGCCTCCCAGATGCTGGGATTACAGGCACCATCACCATGCCTGCCTACTTTATTTCTGAGTTTAAGTTTACATTTAGAAATGAACTGGTGTCATCCTATAAAGTTAGAGTATTTAGCCTTTTCTTTTTTGAGACAGAATCTCACTACATAGTTCAGGCTAGCCTTGATCTCCACAGCTGGCATCGAACTCACAGTGATCCTCCTGACTCAGCCCCCAGAGTCATAGGATTACAGGTATGTGCTACCATGCCCAGCAGAACATTTCACTTTTAAAGCAATATTGCTCAGACTAGAGTCCCTTGAATTTCCAGAGATAACAAATGTATGTCTCAGGGGTTCACCTTTCTTTCTCTTACTTTTACTTTTTTTGGTGTGTGTGGTTCTGAGAATCAAACCTAGGGCCTCAGACATGCTAGGCAAGCCTTCTGTCAGTAAACTAAATCCCCAGCTCTTCTGGATTTCTTATGTTTGAAAAACATTGTCTCTTGGGGGTGGGGATTTAGCTCAGTGGTTCTTCTGCCTGCCTTGTAAGCACAAGGGCCTGAGTTCAATTCCCTGGTACAAAAAAGAAAAAAAAAAGAAAAACACTGTCTCACTGGGTGGGAAGGCACATAACTCCAATCCAGCACTCTGGCAGTCTGACTCAGAAGGATCACAGGTTCCAGACCAGCCTGGGCAATTTAGCAACTGAAAGAGATCCTATCTCAAAATAAAAAAGGGCGGGCCAGGGATGTAGCTCAGCGGTGCAATACTTGCCTAGCAAGTGCAAGGTCCTGAGTTTGAACCTTGGTACCAAAAAATAAATAAATAAAATGGGGTGGGGGTGCAGGGGATGTAGCTCAGTACAAAAGCCCTGGGTTCAGTACCCAGTAACACACAGACACACACCCCCCACACGCACTCAAAACATCTTCCTCTTATGAGAAGACACAGAACGGAAACAGACAAAAAAAAAAAAGTTTTTAAGGCTAGGGATGTAGCTCAGTGGTACCGTGCCTGCCTTGCAAGCACGAGGTCCTGAGTTTGATCCCTGGTATGAAAATAAAACAAAACAGAACAAACAAACAAAAAAGTTTTTGTTTGTTTTGGTACTGGGGGTTGAACTCAGGACTTTGTGCTTGCCAGGCAGGCAGCAGAACCACTGAGCTAAATCCCTGGCAAAAAAGTTTTTAGATGATGTATTTGTCAGTTATCAGCAGTGTTTGACCAATTTGAAATAAATGGTCATAAGAAAAATCTGAAAACAACTTAATGATTTAATAAATTAAAAGCAATACTGGAAAATGTTGTGAATGTGTAGGAACTGTTAAATGCTTAAACTGATTTTTTGGGTTTTCTTTTTGTTTGTTTGTTTGAGACAGGGTCTCACTATGTAGTTGAGACTGACCTGGAACTCATTACATAGCCCAGGCTGGTCTCGAACTCACAGCTATCCTCCTGCCTCAGCCTTGAGTGCTGGGATTACAGGTGTGTGCCACCACGCCTGGCTTGAACTGATTATTTTCTTTAACAATAAGTGGATCCTATATCTTTCTCCTTTGTCTTGGAATGAGTATGCTCTACATTGTAAAGAACCTCCTACTTTTTTCCATTCAGACCAACCCCTCAAGTATGTAAATGTTCAAGAGCTGGTTCTATTACCATGTGTAATTAGCCAGATTTTGCAGTGCTGAGGACTATGAATCTGTGAACATAGTGCTTTGGTTTATTTATTTATTTGCTCTCTATTAGAGCATGAAATCTTCATGTCTTTGAAGAGTATTGTAGGGAGCTGGAGATTCAGCTCAGGGGCGCCGCACATGTCTTACAAGCCCAAGATCCTGAGTTCAATCCCCGATACTTAAAAAAAAGAAGAGTATTGTAGGGATTTGGGATGAAGTGGGGGTGAGCGTAGGGAGAGGAAAATCCCTTGTCCCCCTCTTTCTGGATATGGTCTCACCATGTAGTCCAGGCTGAGCACCAACTCTTAAATCCTCCTGCCTCAGCCTTCTGTTCTGGGACTGCAGGAATGCACCACCACACCCCGTTCAGGTTTCCTCCCTCTTTCCATGAACCTCCTTAGTATCTCTGTTTCTCATTTTTGTGACATCACTACCTTCCAATGCCTTATTTTTTCCTTGCATACTTATTTTCTTTTCCATTATTTTTCTTCCATTTTTTAGCCCATCTCTGTTTTGTGGGCATAGTTTGATATGATTTCCATTTTATATTTCTGCTTATGGATACTGGATAAATGGCAGTCATCTGCAGTCAATGAAGCCAACTGGGTTCCTCTGCTGGCAGGTGCCCAGGGCATTGGCTGCAAACAGCAGCTTCCTCAGGAGCTTACATGACCTGTGGCTTGTATGTGCTACCCTAAGAGACCTTGGAGACACTGCGTGCCGGTGGATGGTCGAATATGTGACCTCTTGCCACCCCCAATCTAGGCTTCAGACAGGCATGGGGGTGCCTTCGGGAAACCCCAGGGCACAGTGTTGAGGGTTCACATTGGACAGGTCATCATGTCCATCTGTACCAAGCTTCAGAACAAGGAACATGTGATCGAGACCCTGTGCAGGGCCAAGGTCAAGTTCCCTAGCATCTCCAAGGAGTGGGGCTTCACAAAGTTCAGTGCACATGAATCTGAAGACAGTGGCCAAGAAGTGCCTCATCACTGATGGCCACAGGCAGGGTGAAATACATCCGGAATCAGGGTGCCCTGGACAAGTGGCCAGCCCTGCACTCCTGAAGGCTTCCACTGGTGCTGTTTCCCTTTTCATAACAATTTCATCAATAAATCTTATCTTGGCCCCCCAAAATGGTAGTCTTTAAAATAAATTTACAGAGAAGTTAGCACTTTACATTCTAGTCTGCATATCTTTTCTTCTGTTTTTGTTTTTTTGAGACAGGGTCTTGCTATGCAGTGCAGTCTGGGCTTCAGCTCACTATGTATCCCAGGCTGGCCTCAAACTCTCCGAGATCCTCCTGCCTCGACCTCCCAAGTACTGGGATTACAGGCATGTGCCATCATGGCTTTTACTCTTCCTATCTTTAATCTGGAAGATTAAATGTTGTACGACTGTGTTAGAGATGAGAAACTACACCTGAGAGGAAATATGTAACCTGTGAAAGACCTCACTAATGCAGTGTAAAACTTGTGGTATTTAGACACATTTTATTCCTAGGGAAAAACAAAACCCCAAAAGTAGCAGCAGCAGCAGTGTTTTCTCAACACTGCCTTGTCAGAGAGCTAGTTCATCCAAGTTCATGACAACCTACAAGCCTCATATCCTCACGGCCTAACTCTAATCATCTTCAATACTTATATATCTACTTGTCACCGTAAGTTAAACCCATTTTTTCTTCCCTAAAAGTCCTCCCCCAAATCCCACCATTTTCTGGTAATGGCTCTATCAATTTTTGTCATTCAGGGTCAAAACCTTGGTATTATTAATCAATTCAACAAACACTGCAATATTATTGGGGATCTATACACGAACTTTGCCAGGAATATGGAAGACACAGTAGTATGGCCTGTAAGGAAAGATTAAGGGGGGGATACAAACTTACTCAGGGATATAAGCAAGGAGTACCTGGAGAAAGGCAGGCCGTCGGGTGGGTGGAGAGGTGTGAGTAAAACACAGAAAGAAGAAAGCACCCACAGATATACTCCTGAAGGACTGAGTTACGGAAGGAATGGTGAGGTACAGTCAAACCCAGTCCTGGTTCAAGCAGGAAGGTCTTGTAAACCGTATTGATGAATTTGTGTATGGGGCTCATTCTAGTTAATTCCTAGTAATTAAGGAGTTTGTATTAATCTAAAGAGTAAGAGAGAAGCCATTACTAGTTTTGTTGTTTTTGTTTTGGCGGTACTGGGGATCTAGCCCAGGGGCGCTCTACCAGTGAGCTACATCCTTAGCCTCTTTAATTTTGTTTTGAGACAGTCTCACTAAGTTGCCAAGGCTGACCTCAAACTTAACTTGTGACCCCCTAGCCTCAACTCCTGAGTAGCTAGTGTCTGTCACTGTACCTGATTGTTTGTGTTTGAAACAGGGTCTCGCTATGTAGTTTAGGCTGACCTTGGAACTTGCCACGGAACATAGATCAGCCTCGAACTCCGGGAGATCCTCCTGCCTCAGCTTTCAGAGTGTTGTGATTACAGGCGTGAGCCACCCCACTGGGCTTCACTTTGTGTTATAAATGAATCCATTTTGTCAGTTTGAAAAACTCCTTTCCTTTTCATCCCCTCGATCCAATCCATTATTAACTGTCACATTTATTAAATGTCTAACTTGTCCTTTCATCATTCCTAATCCCACTGCCACCTGCCAGCATCCCAGTCGTGGCTCATTTCATTCCATGCTTAAATCCTAAAGCCTTCTAACCAGTTCCAGTCCCACTCTCACAAAGACTTGGACTTCAACCTGCCCATTTGGGAATTTATAATCACCTCTAGAGGGATCTAATGCTACCACTCAGAATCGTCCTCGGGACAAACCCAGCCGGCTTCCTCAAAAGCCCTCCCAAATGCGGATTCCACCTCTTCCTCTCTCTCCCAATCTTGGGACATTATCCTCTCTTCCTTTGACATAACGGACTCCTGAGGTGCCTTCTCCAGTGTGTAAAATCTTTTCATTGCAAGCCACATCCTGCTCTCCTCTCCTTTGATCTCACCCACCAGAATGCACCAAACATTTCTATATGGCATTAACTCGAACTATGTCACAAGTCGAGGGCTTCATTTTTCTTTGCCCAGAAAAGATTCATTCTTCTCGTATAGGCCTCACAGGGCCTAACCAAATGCCGCGTAAGCTCAGAACAAATACGAGTCGACTTTAATTAAACCGAACCGGGCGGGGTTTGCGGAGTCTGAGGGCGCCGGGAACCGTCGGGAGACAGGGCTGATCACACTCAGGACGGACCAGAAGCCACGGTTCCGACATAAAGAAGCTTCACACAAAAACGCCGAGGGGCCAGGACCCGGGACGAGGAGGCAGAAGGGACACAAGTCTCGCACGCGGAAGCGGGACGGTCGCGACAGCTGGTGGGCGTGGCCGCGCAGTCTCGCGGGAG